TAGATACGAGTCATATCAGAGTTAGTTTAGACAATTTAATGAAGTTAATGGTGGTTCGAAACTTAATGGTGGTTCGAAACTTAATGGTGGTTTTAGCAGATAAGAGTCATATCAGAGTTGGTTTAGGCATTTATAATTAAAATTTGTGGTTGAGTTTGCATTTAAGTTTATAGACTAACCTATATTTTCAAACTTGCAGGTTAAGTTTATAGACTAGCCTATGTTTTCAAACTTGCAGGTTAAGTTTATAGACTAACCTAACCTAGACAACAAAATTATTAGTGCAGAAGCCTGAGTTTATACACTAACCTCAGACATCTTTCTCGAGTGCAGCCACACGATGAAGCAGCATCCTCACCTGCGCCTGAACAGAGACAACAAAATTCTAAGTTGGCTTTAAGCAAATTGCTAAAGTCCTGAACACTTAAAAGATCAGTGATCGCTCACCTTAAGGGCCTCGCACTCTCTGAGAAGCTTTTCCTGCTCATAGAACTTCACTTTGAGCCTCTCAACTTCTTCTTGAATTGCCTTAACCCATGGCTGCCTGAAATGCAAGCCGTCATTCTGCACAAACAGCAAAACATTAGTCTAATAGGAACAGACACATAAATCTAAGCAGAAAGTGTTGTGAATAAATACTCATACCACGAAGTCTTTGCACACGAAGTACCTCTTCCCAGGGAGGTAGTCGTAGCTATCGTCTTCATCAACAGTTTCCTTGGTTATTGATCCACAGGGGCACAACTTCGGAATGCCCTGTTGCGCGTCTGCAACAAAATGAAGCATGTTGTAGTAGTCCCTGCGTGCTTTTTGATCACGAAGTTCTTCTTCCATATTCAGAGTCTGCAAGAACACATAAGTAAACAAATTACTCTCTTAATCGAATTAGACATCAATCACGTCTCTAAAATGATTTATAAATCAAACCAGAACCGTTAAGCAATTTACAAATCAATCACGAGTCGATTAAAACCCCCCATTAGAACACCTAATTAATCATAACCCAGAAAAGTGACCTAAAACAACAAATATCCGAATCTACATGCAAAATATATCAGAGAAATACCAAAACCCCAAATCGATTACAAACCCAGAATCTTCTAAACCGCGAAGCTAGAACCCTAAAACAACCAAATAACGAATCGAGATACCAAAGTTTCCAACCCACACGAAAACCAAAATCGAAAAAAAACCACAAATCGATTTGATCCACAAACTCGATTGAAACCCCCCGGTAGAACACGAAACCTTCAGATATCAACATGCATGAACTCAGAAACCAAAATATTCGAGGTTAGATCCTCTGATTTACCTTCACCGGCACAGATTCGCCGAATCGCCTTCTAGTTCGTCAGAGGAGAAGAAGATTTTTTTTTTGAGAAACGAAAACAAAATGAATTTTTTTTATGCCCCACGCGGTACACATATCGCGAGCGAACGGCCTAGATCTCTCCACGTGGTTAAGGACTTGATCCTTGCAATCCTTTCCTAAGGATTAATCCTTCCTGAACTCATGGGCTTTATTAAGAAAAAAAGGCCATCGACCTATGTCACCCCGCTAAGGATCCATAAGGACCTTGCGTTGGACATGGTCTTATCCTGTAGAGTCTTCAGTTCCTTTCTTGTCTGCTTATCATCTCCCCTACTACCTCTGTCATGATCACCGCTGTAGACCATGTTACTCTTAACCATGTTGTCTACCAGCTCCTCTGCATCCTCTTCAGACCTTCCCAAGAAGAACCCATTGCTGGCTGTATCCAATCTTGCTCTATACTTAGGTAAAGCACCTCTGTAGAAAGTACTGAGCAAGCTGTCCTTGGAGAAACCATGGTGTGGGCATTGTGCTTGATAACTCTTGAATCTCTCCCATGCTTCGGTGAATCCTTCCAAGTTCTTTTGCTGAAAGCTGGATATCTCATTCCTCAACTTGGCAGTCCTTGAGCTAGAGAAAATTTTCTCTAAGAATGCTCTCTTGCACTCATCCCAGGTAGTGATAGAGTCACTAGGTAAGGACTTCTCCCACTGACGTGTTTTATCCCCCAAAGAGAAAGGGAATAGCTTCAGTTTGAATGTATCCTCGGACATACCATTGGTCTTTGACAAGCCACAGTAGCTGTCAAACTTGTCCAAGTGATCAAATGGGTCTTCAACAGGTAACCCATGATACTTGTTGTTCTCGATCACGTTGAGGAGTCCTGGTTTCACCTCAAAATTGTTGGCTTCCACAGCTGGCGCACGGATTCCCAACCTATTGCCATGAAGGTTTGGACGGTCATACGTGCCAATAGGGCGAGCTGGGCGAGGTGGGTGAACTTGGTTTTGTCCATTGACGTTAACCGGTGGGTCCATCTCAGTATCCAACCTCTGCTGTTGTGCAAGTTGCGCTGCTTGTTTTCTCTGTCTTGATATCTCTCTTTCGAAAGCCCGGATGTCTGGAACTCTTGGAACAAGGTTTGTTGTGCCTTTACTCCTCAAGTTCATACACCTGAAATCCAAAAAGAGTTGAAGATAGAGAATCAGTAACAAACTAAAATAAAAATGACTTAGTCTCAAGCAAGTGACTAAATCTCAATGTTTCAATCTACTCAGAATTTGGCAACGGCGCCAATTTGATGTTAGGAGTTTTCAATGCTCCTAAGACAAATGATGTAGTATAAAAGATTGTCGAACCATTTCTGAGAGATGTAAAAGCACCGAGAATCCAAGTACTAGCTTAATCTAAGTGCAATCATGTGGTTGATTGGTTTTTGAATTACAATTAATATCGAAATGCAGTAAAGAATGCGATGACTGAATATACTTTAACAATTAAGAGATGGGAGAATCCATGGGTACAGGGAATTTGACCTTGGATGATCAGTTTTCGAACTAAGAGTGGCAAGTGATCAGTTAAACTATCTACCTTAGGCCTAGACACAATTCTAAACAAGCTCTATGTCTAGATGAATGTTCATTTGCAAACACAATTCAAACATCAAACTTCTTTGCTTGAATATCATGAAAGCAATCATTAGGAACAAGTCGATTAGCCATCTTAACACCTTTAACAACAAGTATCCTTGGTAAAGGATGTTAAAAGCTTAGGAGAGTTGGCTCAGACATTTCATCGAACACTTTGTGAGTGGGAAATGTCTAAAGATCAACTTTTGAGTGGCCAACTCAAGAAAAGCATTAGGATCACTCTACAAGCAAGGAATAGGAGAAATCTAAACTAAACACTCTAATTCTAGACTAATCATCCTTAGTCTCCCTAACCCATGA